ATGATCAGAAAAATTGCGCTAACTGCGCAAATTATATAATATGCTATAACTGATATGCTAGATATGCGTCCGATATGATGGATAAGCATAAGGTGACAAATATGCGGTCGCATATAATATGCGAAAAAAGGGCATAGTGCTTATTTCCGGCCACCCTAACGCGATTAGTCAAATGCTATTTTTGTTCACAAAAAATTTTTTTTCGCGTTATCCCTGTGGACACCCATCCAGCTAAGTAATTTTCAGATTGCCAAAGTAGAAATAATTAACGGTACCCTACGTCTCTATGGTCTTTGCCCTTTGGCCGATGCTTGGAGAAGTAGTGTTGCAGGATATATCACTATGACTCGTTACATGTTTTGTAATGGCTTTTAGTGCCCACGCCTGGACCTCTTTTCCAGTGTACCTAACAATATCAGTATCCTACGTCTCTATGGTCTTTGCCCTTTGGCCGATGCTTGGAGGAGTAGTGTTGCAGGATATATCACTATGACTCGTTACATGTTTTGTAATGGCTCTTAGTGCCTACGCCTGGACCTCTTTTCCAGTATACTATATTGTTAAATGCACAATAATAATATTTTCATTCATTACAATTATCTCCCAGATCACTAATAGTGCATCTTTATATATATATGGATTTTTACCAACACATTTTAACTTATATAACGGACTCTGATTATAAGGATTGGAATGTTCTGAACTGTCTTAACCATCTGAAGGATCGTCTACAATTTACTTCCGATAGTAAACAAGAAATCTTAGACGCGTTTATGAGAGCCTTTAAGAAAATTAGTGAGTCTGATATTATAAATTCTAAGACAATAAACAAGGCGAAAAAATTATACAATAGTGTCCGTGAAACTTTTCAAAGCAGAGAGATTACCGAATTTTTTGAGAAACTGGATCAAGAGTTTGATGCGGTAAATAATTATGGATTTTGTCTTATATATCTATTGAAAATAATTCATAGAGGCAAAATGAACGGGATCTCGAGAGGTCTTTCGATAGGAATGAATGTGAACTTTTACAGAAGTCAGGCGATTTCAATACACTGAAACTTTCATCGAGTTATGCAGAAAAGTCGACAGAACTGCTTGAAATAGTAAGATCGATTTTTTATTTGTGCTCTCCGAGTTTGTATTAAATCTTTGTGCTAACTTTGGAGATCATCAATCTTTATGAATTCCTTTATAATCTAGGACGAGTTAGTATCCAACCAAAGTAATTATTTTTAAGAAAAAGACGAAACATCAATTAAATGAGGAACGTACGATAAAAAAACCACATCAAGACAGAGAAACTACACCGTCACCATGCAGTCCAAAATTGCATTCATTGTCATTGGATAATCCGTTCGTTGAGGATAAGAGGACGTAGACGAGGAGGACGAGGATGGCGTCATAATTATTGATGATGTAGACGAACTGTGCTTCGAAGAGGGGGACCCAACAAATGATCTTAAAATAGGAGATACCAATGTGTCTCAGTTATTCCGGCAGTATCAAAATGAGTCGTTAAAGATCGCAAAGACTGGTGGTTTACTTGTTGAATCAAACATACGTGAAATATTGTCACTGTCTTCGATTTTTCTTCTTATTCCGGGATCTCACTCAAATACGATGATTGACATATTTAGTTCTCGTTTACTTGATGAAATCCACCAAAAAATAATACCGTTACAGCAAGTAGAATTAGATTCTGAGTGCGAATCAAAGTTTAGGAAAGCGACCAAGAAAGCAATAATAGAGTCACGTGTGTGTTCTGTAGATTGGTTGTGGTCAGAACTTTCAAATTATCAAACTTTAAAGGAGAGCTTGGGTATTGTATTCTTAGAGTGCTTGAAATCGTTACCAACGTCGAAGATTAAAAATGAACCCAGTGAGATAACATTGATTACAAATCATTTAGACAATATCATAAAGGAAATGTTGCACAATCCAGACAAACACATTGTTGATGGGAACAGTTCATAGAATTCAAGGACAATCAATTGAGGCACCAGAACGTTGCTTTATTGTAGACCATAGTTTGAGAGGTTGGATCAATAATGCTGTATATTCAGCTTGCAGTCGTGTACGATACATGAATCAATTAATCCGAGTTGCACCGCCAAATGGTATACTCGATCACAATTGCTTCAATTTAGCGCCGATGCCGTTCATTACAAT